CAATGATCGTCTTTTTTCACAAAATATGAAGAAAAAAGTGATAAAATTATTCAAAGAGTATGCCCAAAGGTGAAAGGAAATAGCTATTCAAGTCCAACCACCTTTAACCAAGAAAAAAACTACAATGCTATTTGTGAGCACCTTAAGTTACCTTATTATGAGAAAATGATAGGGAATGCAATGAAAAATTTTATTGATGTGGTGATCTCAAGTGAAATTATCAAAAATGCGATTAAAAATGGCAAGTTAGGCCAAGAAAAGTCAGCCAACACGAAAAAAAGTGAAATACCAAAAAAAAAAAGAGAATGAAGCTCAAGCTGTGAGTTATAATAGTCAACAATTTAGAAGTTTTTCTAATGCCCCTTACCGTTGTATCCATTCATTATCTATCTATAAATAATGTAGCACCTTACACTTATCAATCTACCTTACCATCTACTTATCCACATATTTTCCCATTAACTCATACATAGAACCTTACCACCGCACCTATTATAAAGTTTACCCCAAAACCTCATAATCAGGCTAGTAATGCAAGAGAATTGCAAAAAAACAAAAAAAAAGGGCTCTTTTGATCTCATTCCCATGATATACACAGATTTGCTACCATATCTACTAGAGAATCATTTGTGTTGAGCTAATGAAACCTCCTTACCTAAAATGGTATGACGCTAATGCTTAATAATAATATCATTATAGGAACATAGGTTATTTAACAAAAAATTATGTTGCCTTGAAGCATAAGGTACATGGTCTTATCAATATTAGGTTGATCAAGTTTGATGATAAAGGAGGGTAAAGCATCATTAAAATTTCTCTACCTAATGATACAGTGGCATAATTTTGAAAAGATGTTTTTTAGAAGTAATGAACTATAGGGTAATCTTTTATGTGTTTATCTTATATTTATTTCTTATTTCAATAAAATGAAAAGTGCATTTCATTACATAGTTTTCTTTTTATCCTTACTTTTATATCTTTTCATATTTTACTTATTCTCATATTTCAAATATGAATGTTCAGACAATTGTGATAATAGTTTAGGATTCAATCTTGGAAATTTCATTCATACCAATGAGATTAATGATTCGGACCCATAATCTGTTGGATAAATTAAAGTTGGCATGCTAAAAGGTAGAAATAAAGTCATTCTAGAATAATATGGTTTCTTATATCCATAATCTCGATTTCATTCAATATAGGTTCTTTAAAAAAGTATTTATATTTAAAATAAGATATGACCATATTTCTTTTACCTTTCACGAAAAGTAAAATAATCCACTTTCGACTCATTTTGAGCCTACTGTGATTTCTTTGAAAAAAACCCATCAAGGATTACCCTTCTTGAAAAGAAAAATTAAAAGAAAAAAATGAGATTATAAGATGAAAGGAAAAATGAAAAAGACAAAAAAATGTGAAGGCATTTGATAAAAAATGGGGCAAAATGCCAAATTGCTTTAAATGATGAAAGGTGATCCTATTGTTTACACATTTTCAAACATATATTTTTTAGCCTACTTTATCTCTTTTTTTTTATAACTTTTCACTATAGCCAACGTTATGTGCTTTAAAAGTCAATTTTGATCAAATGCGAATACTTGAATTGAAGAATCATATATTAAACTGAGGCATGCTTATGGTATGATTAGATGATAATGAGATCTTATATTTTAAGGATTCATATAGGAATACCTATAAGGAATGAAACGCAAAAAGAAAAAAAAAGAATGAAAAATAAAAAAATAAAAAATAAAAATAAGGGAAAAGAAGACTTAAATCAAAAATCCAAAAGGGTGATTTAAGTGAAATAAGATATACTGACTGAGAGCACAACTAAGATAGCCTAAAAATATTTAAGAGTCTAATCGGCTAAGGGGTAAATTTTGAATTTTTAAACTTAAAAAGAGATTGAAGTGGCAACAAAATGAGTTTTCTAAGAAAGAATTTGGATTTGTGTCAAAAATTATCTGAACATTTATTATTTTAAAAGTTCAAATCCCTTCAAACACTTATCCTAGCAATATGCTTTAACATTGTTTATCTGATTATTATCATTTACTAAACTTGTTCGTGTATCCTTTTTCTTAAAACCACCATATTTCTCACCATTTTTGCTTGTTGTAATAAGAAAATATATGATGAATTGCATTTCTCTTAAAGTTGGAATGATTTATAAATGAGAAAATACATAAATGATCCTTATATTACTTTAAAAAAGAAATTGATAGTGATAGGGGCATAATGAAAATAATCTGATGAAAGAAGCTTGTGAAAATGTTGATTCACAAAACTTTCAAAAAAAAAAAAAAACCATTTTGAAAAATGTTTAGATTTGGTGAAAAGATATTTGGGTTGACAGAAGTTATGAAGCTAACCAATTTCAAAGATGGATGAAAGAGTCTTAAAAACCTTTTTTTACCATAATTATGGATGCATTCATTATATCTCATGCATTACATCCATGAAATTCATTGCATACATTGTAAACAAGTAGTTTGAATAGCGAATGGATAAGAATTTTTCAAGTAATGGAGTTTTGAACTCGTAAATCCTTGGTTGAAGAGAATTTTTAAAATATAATCTTTTATTAAGAAAAGGATAAGACCCTGACTCTTGGTTAAAAAGTTTGAAGAAATATTCTTTTGTCTTAAGAAGTGTATTTTAAAAATGAATAAGATTTGTAAATCCTCCAAACATAATCTTAAAGTCTTTTGAGTACAATCTATAAGACCTTCGAGTATAATTTTTAAACCTGCGATTATTATTTTCAAAATCTTTTAATCTCATTTTTTGACTTAGGCTCAAACTTAGTTTTTAACCTTAACTAAGTCCAATCACCTTTATATTCGACTTTGATTCAATCTAGTCACCTTTATCTTCGACCTTGGTTCAATCTAGTCATCTTCATTTTTTTTCTTGGCTCAGTCCGATCACCTTTATTTTTGACCTTTGCTCAGTCCAGTAACCATTTTGACTTTGATTTAATCTGGTCATATTTACATTTAACTTTTGGCTCAACTCAAATTAAATATTTATATATATTTTTTATCTCAACTAAGACCAAGTCATTTCATTTTCTAACTTCAATAAGTTTAAGTCATATCATTTTCTAACTTCGGCCAAGACCAAATTATTTTATTTCCTACTTTGGCTATGACTAAGTCATCTTATTTTTTAATTAGGATTAAATCCAAGTCATCATCTTCATTTTGACTTATAGGCTCAGACGAAATCATCATCATCATCATTTTCGACTTATAAACTCAGATTAAGTCATTAGTTTCGAACTGAACTTAGTTCGGTCACCTTCATTTTCAATTTGGTCACCCGTATTTCTTGACTTCAGCTAAGTCCAAGTTATTTCATCCCTTTACTTTGGCTAAAATGAAGTTATGTCATTTTTTTATTTGGTTAAGTCCAAGTCATATCATTTTCAACCTTGACTCAATCTAGGTAATTTCATTTTAAAAACCTGGTATAATGGATATCTATATTTTTGCACAATTCCTTTTAGGTCAATTTCAATACTTTATTATATGATTGGTGTAATTTTAGCCATCCATCCATGAATGAAAATAAAATATTTTATTCAAGATTTTGTTATGTCACGTTGACACAAAAATATTTGTATTTCTATTTTTAAGAAATGCTACCTAAGGAAATATAAATATATATATATATATAAAGATAATTAAGATGATTTATGGTAAAAAAAAATTAAAACACAAATCATCAACTGCAGTACCAGTATAACAAAATAAACTATCATAATGAAAAACAAAGCAAAAGGATAAAATGAGTAGTACAAAATTTGACGTTATAAATGTAAAACAATGATTTTTTTTTTTATATAGAAAAACTTGAATTTGTAAAGTACTGAAATCGAAATTTACTTATATAGAGCAGGAGGAAGCGTAGTGCAGCCTCCGAAATCCTTTGAGCAATTAAACAATCAAATCTAGCCAGCCCCCATAAGTGAAAACTCAAAACATTGGATTCACGCAGTACATGACAAAAAGAAGAGTAAATAATTCCCAATAGCTCCCAAATCCCAACATCAATATTTAATTCTCAAACCGCAAGCATAGAATCACCTTCCACAATGACTTGATTAATTAATCCTTTATCTAGCACCAGTTGCCTCCAAACTCATGAACGTTTTTCATTCGGCGTTGCAAAGGGCCAAAAGAATGGTGTCAAACTTACAAAACACGAAATTGAAGTACGCAGAATACCTATTCCCACCAATGCCCATATAGGTATTCTTCAAAGTTTTTTAAGTAGTACCTTCCCTTTTAATGTTTCCATTGATCTTTCTCCGCACGTCCTCTGCCACTTGCAGCGATAGCATTTATCAGGGTGGGTTTCTTTAATAGGTTTTACTTCTTCAATTGGTTTGGTTGTTTTTTAGTTAGGCAATTTTCCACTTAATTTGCCACCTTTTTTTCTTCAAAATTCCAATTCATCATCCATGTGGTCATTTTTCTATTTTGAAATAGCCACATCAGAATTTAATTTTTAAGTGAATATCAATTTTTTTTTTTTTTACATCTATGGATGATTAGAATTGCACCCAAAAATAAATAATATAATGGTAAAATTACACTAAAAAAGTATAATAATAAAATAAAACGCCCAATATAATAGGGACCCGGCATAATTTTAATTTGAATTTATAATAGTTTTTGCATAAATTTTTTACGCATTAAAAAAAAAAAAAAACCTTGGTGAGGGTTTTTCTAGCTAGTTCGAACTCTTTCACAATATAGCTTAACTTTTGGTGAGTTTTTTTTTTTTACATAATTTGGATGACACAATATAGCTACTGGATTTATTGATCTCACTGTCCGACTCTTTTCCTCCGAAATTAGCTACGATCAGATCCCATCATGAGGCTTCAATATAGGCTAACAGAATTAATTGGTATAGTTAATTTAGGCCAAATTTCATTGAGCAAGAAACGGGCATTCCCTAACAAACCTTAAGCTAAGCGTGAAAAATGTTAAATCACAAAAAGCATTGCTTAAGACCCATAATTTGTCACGAAAAACCAAAACTATCACTCATTTCTTTGCCTAACTTTCTCCCTCCCTTTTTCTCAAATGAATATTCGATTTTCTTGTGCTCTCCTCATTATCTCTCTGGCCTTATCGGCGGAGTCATCCTCCCCCTACAGTAGCATGCATTGGAGTCGAACCTCCTTCTCGAGCACGATCCGCGATGGGAGTCTGGGTGCAAGGCCAACATGTCAAGGCCTCTTCGGCGAATGCATAGGCAATGAGGAGGAAACTGTGATGGAATCGGATGTAAGCCGAAGGGCATTAGCTGAGGCGAAAAGGTACATTAGCTACGCCGCCCTAAAGCAGGACAGCGTTCCATGCAATCGTCAGGGCAATTCCTACTATAACTGTGGCGCTCCTGGGCAGGCTAATCCTTACAACAGAGGTTGCAGTGTCATCACCCATTGCTATCGATACACTGGTTAAACGAAGCAATTCTATGTCCATTAAATTTCCCATGCATTTGTTCTTCACGTTATCACTTTTATAGGGCAATATTTTCCTTCTTTTAATTAATTTGGGTTTTTTTTTTATAAATTTTGTTATTATATTTACGTTATGATCATACTTTCACAAAAGTGAAAAGTAGCAGGGATCTTTAATTTCGAGGGAGTAATTATTTATTTTCAATATTTGATTTTCTTTGTTTTGATTGAATGTAAATACATGATGATCTCTCTGACTTTTAATTTCCTCTGTGTTCCTTTTTTAATTACTATTATTTTCTTTTTCCATGTCGAAATTGAGATTTCTTTTTAGATAAGTTCATGAGACATATTTCAGTTACATATTGACGTTTTTATATGGTCAATATTAAATTAGAAGCAACAACAGTAACCATGCAAACTAAGACATTTTGTTTAATTTGTTACACCGAAGCTCTTTTTTTTTTTTGTCCTTTTTTTTATGTTTCCAAAATTGTATTTTGTTTCCTTTATTGAACACTTAATTATCTTACTTTTTTTCTATTTTAAAATTATTTTTATATTTTTTAATTTTTTTTACATTAATAATTATGGTACATCAATTTTATAAAAACTTAAAATTCTAATATAAAGTATACTAGAATTATTTTTTTAAAATTCCTTAAAGGTCAAAGAGGGACAACCAATATGGGTAGGAGGAAGTACTAATAATCTTGGTAGAAAAAAAAATGATCACCTGCTATATGAGTCATCTTATTCCACATTTTCTCTTGGTAAAAAAAAAAAAAGAATACATCTTTTCTCAAATCAACAACTCTTTACTTTATCGTGTAAATAAAGCTTAAAAAAAAAAGCCTATGATTTTTCCAAAATTAAGCCCTTCCATTTAATTCTTTTTATGCTCATGGTAAAGTGAAAAAAAAACTTATTTTTGCAAGTAACTATTAAAATGCAAAATCCTTGATAGCTCTCATCAAAAGAAAATCCTTGATGGCAAATCTATTTCATGAAAAAATGCAAAATAAATTAAACACAATATTTCTATAATATATATGATAAAAATAATTTGTTACATAAAGAAAAATATAAACGACATGTATATAAATCAAATAAAAATGATTAAATTCATATAAAGTATATAAACAAAAGATTGAAAGAGATTGTTTGAGAAAAAAATTCTTTTCATGTGATATATATTGTTTGAGAAAAAGAAACAATATCCCAAAAAATTTAAAGTTTCAAGATATTTATTAAAAAATTTTGAAACACAATATTTGGATGAAAAATTAAAACCTATTGTAGTTGCGCCGACAAAAGCACCAAAAAGATTAAAAAAATCATATAATATATATGTCTATAGTAGTAAACCCCTAGCAAAATAATCATTTTACCCTTTCAATTTCTTATCAATTGCTTGACACCTATCCAAAAAATTGATAATACCCCTCCTGTATTAAATGACAAAAAATACCCCTATTTTAAATGATAAACTATTATAATATCCTTTTCTTCATAAATTACAAAAATACTACTCTTATAAATATCAAATGACGCCACCCCAAGCAAAATGATTATTTTACCCTTTCAATTTCTTACCAATTGCTTGACATTTTTCCAAAAAAAGCCAATGACCCTCCTATATTAAATGATAAATATACCCTTCTTTTAAATGATAAACTGTTATAATGCCTTCCTTTCTTAAATTACAAAATACACCTCTTATAAATATCAAATGACCATTTTACCCTTTCAATTTTTTACCAATTGCTTGACACCTATCAAAAAGACAATAATGCCCTTTTATATTAAATGAAAAAAATACACCTCTTTTAAATGATAAACTGCTATAATGCCTTACTTTCTTAAATTACAAAAATATCCCTCTTATATATATCAAATGACTCTAATGCTAGCAAAATGACCATTTTACCCTTTCAATTTTTTACCAATTGCTTGACACCTGTCATAAAGACAATAACCCCCTTTTTATATTAAATGAAAAAAATACACCTCTTTTAAATGATAAACTGCTATAATGCCTTACTTTCTTAAATTACAAAAATATCCCTCTTATAAATATCAAATGACTCTAATGCTAGCAAAATGACCATTTTACCCTTCCAATTTTTTTACCAATTGCTTGACACCTATCCAAAAAGACAACAATGCCCCTCCAATAGTAAATGACAAAAATACCCTTCTTTTAAATGATAAACTACTATAATGCCTTTCCTATCTTAAATTACAAAAATACCCTCTTATAATTGTTAAATGATTATAATGCCCCTTACGTTTTAAATGACAAAAATACCCTCCTATAAATGTTAAATTATTGTGGTACCCTTATGTCATAATTATGAAAATATCCCTCATCCCACAATTGACTAAAATTACTTTGATGCCCCTCTCACTATAATTATAGAAATTTCCTACTACTATAATTGACCAAATTTGTTATAATGTCCTCCTATCATAATTACGAAAATACCTTTCTACCAAAATTGATCAAAATAACTATAATGCTCTTTACCATAATTACAAAATGTCCTTATGATTGCTTCCTAAGAAATTGACATGTAGCATTTTATTTGAAAATTATTATAATACCCCTTTTAATTTACATATTAAATTTTAACATAATAATATAGAATTAATCACATATTAAATTACTAAAATACCTCTATCATCATTTCATAGAAATTTGACTTGTGAAATTTTATTTGAAAATTGCTATAATACTCTTATTAAGTTATATATATTAAATTTTAACATAATATAAAATTAACTACATTTTAAATTACTAATCTAATTGAGATTATCAAAATGCCACAACGTTTCTTTGATTAAGAGTTGATACATTTTCTAAATGATTATAATATCCTTTTTATCATAATTATAAAAATGTCCCTTTTACTATAAATTAGTTAAAATTATGATAATTCCCCTCCTAACAAAATTTGACAAAATTACTGTGATGCCCTTACTACATAATTATGAAAATGTCCCTCCAATCATAATTTTGCAAAATTACTATAATATCCCTCCTAGCATGATTACAAAAATATCTTTCTTATCATAATTGATCAAAATTACTATAATACTCTATATTATCTATAACTATATATAAAAGTAATCTACCAAAGAAATGATAATTTTGCCCTTTCAATTTTTATCTAATTACTTGACATGTGACAAAAAGACCACAATGCCCTCCTATGTAAATGACAAAAAAAACCCTTTTTTAAATGATAAATAACTATCCCTCCTTTTTTAAATGATAAAAAAACCAAAAAAACACTAAAAAACTATTTAATTTTTTTAATGTATTAAATTAAAATTTAAAAAATTTATATTTCATAAAAATGAAAAAATTACAACCCAAGCATAATTGGGTTATTTTTCTAACAATACATGGATGAGATTATCCCTTAATTAAATGCAAGTATGACATGTGTCCAAGTTTGATTACTTGATACATGTCATGTTTTTTAATTCAATATATTATTAGAAAGTTTTATTAGTTTACTAAAAATATTGGGGATAAAATTATCTTTTACAACTTGAGATATTTTGAAAATAATGATAATGATTCAAAAAAAGTTATACATAAGCTTATAGAGAAGCTTTATAATTTTATGGGTGATAAAAATCGATTAGTTTTAAGTAACTTATGGAAAGCTTGGGAAAAACCAAGGGGAAAAGGATATAGAAGGATGAAGGAAAAACAAATGAAAACACTACTAGCCCTTTGTAGACACTAACAAAATCCCATTCTCAATTCTTTTTACTGTTAATTACTATTAATTATTCATCACCGTCAATCGCTTTATTATCTCGAACCTCTATGTTCATTTCATTGTCAATCACCATCATGGGACAAGTTGTAAATGTCTCTTTCTCTCCCTCAACTATTTTTTATTCTTCAAAATTTTGTTGATAAATAAAATTTTCTTTATTATTTTTATTTAAGTGTTATTATTGCTTAAATTTAGAAGTTTTCTCAAGTTGAGCTTTTTCTTTTCTTTTGAATTTTTTAGGAGGTGACGAATTCAATAGACACTATGTTTTTGATTCCATGGCAACTGAAGGCGTTAAAAAACACGGTGTTTCAATTTCATTTTGTATTTTGTAGTTTTCTATTCAGATGTCTTTGTTGCTTTGATCTTATTTGTTATTTTTCTTTTATGTTTAGGTCAAAGATACAAAGATAGTTGAAATTAATTGATCTTTTTCCTTTTAAGAGATTTCCATGTTTGTTTATATTTCTCCTTATCCAAATTTGTGATGTTTCTTTATCTTATGCTTATGTTACATTAAGGCTTAATTTTATGAAAATGGATACACTGATGGATTGAAAAAAAGTCTCCTATAGAGTGAATGATTCAAAATAATCTGATAGGTTTTTTTAATGATTATATTTAATTGCATGAATTTTATCTTTACAAAATATTCAAATAAGTTGTCCTTATTATCATTTTAGTAATATTAATTTTTACAATAAATCTATCTTTGCTACTTGCATAATATTAAGTGCACCATTCTTAAACATTTAATAGTTGCTAAAATAAGGTATCCACTTTTTGCTCATTCTATTTATCCAAATATGTCAATAAGATTGAACCGAGTTTCATGTATTGATGATAGGGGAGTCATGCAATTTAGAGGACATTTTTCAATTTTCACTCATCTTGGCCAAGCATTGGGTCTAGAAGATAAGTCTCAATGTCTAGCAGTGAATGAGTATACTATGACACACTTATATGTTTTATTGAATTGCTAAAGAGATAAATCCTAAGATTGAGTAATTACTATGTCAACTCTATAGTGTATGTTGCAGAAGATAGGATATTTGATGGCTAGATGAAAAAAAAAATTATGAATATAAGTGATGCGAATTGGAAAAAGCACGAGATGCAAGATTTTCATAATAGTTAAGACAATTTATAAGTTTAGAGCATAATACTATCTATGAATAGAAATTATATTTTCATATAAATTTGAAGAATGATTAATT